ATGTACAAGAAGCCACTAAAGCATCTTGGCAGAGGACCCAAAAGCACTCAGATGGCTCCAGCCAAATCTCAATCAAATGCCCAAGTACCTGCAGTTCCATCTTGGACTGAATATTGAGCAGCGGAAGCTCGTTCTGCTCAGAGCCCTTCAATCAATCAGAGACCTGCTGGCAGAGTGCATGTCTGCTTTACAGCTATGCTGCTGGCTTGCTGAGCAGAACCCCTCTGCAGGGCTGGCCCATGCACCTGGTACAGAGGGTGACAGCCCTGCCAGGTGCTCAGCCTGACTCTGTATAATTAGAGAGGCAGCCACCTGATTGGCCCCTTGAGACAAGTTCTGGGGTATTTTAAATGGCCCTTAATTGCTCTGCTAGTCACTGTGCAGCCACTGGAGCCCCACCGTTGAATGAGGATGAGTTGCACAAAGCAGACCCTAGAATCATAGCAAATTAGGGCTGGAAGACACTTCAGGAGCCATCTCATGCAATCCCCTGCCCGAAGCAGGACCAACCCCAACTAAATAATCCCAACCAGGGCTTCCCCCCCCTCCCTAGAGAACCCATTCCAGTGCTTCACCACCCTCCTAGTGAAATAGTTTATCCTAAAATCCAACCTAGACTCCCCCACTGCAACTTGAGACCATTGCTCCTCGTTCTGCCACCTGTCACTACTGAGAACAGCCTCTCTCCATCCTCTTTGGACCCACTTTCCCCTTCAGGCTGCGATCAAATTCTGCCCCCTCCCCCCCGCTTCTCTTCTGCGATCATTTGAGGACAGTTCTGCAGGACTAGTGATTAACTGGCTGGTTCACCGCACCCCAAAGATTTAGTGAGCTGGGGATACTAGTGCTCCATGAGAACCATGTCAGCATATGATACAACCAAAGGAACCCTAGTAAGAGACTTTCAAAGACAGGTCCATGGGTGGGTGGCCCAGCTGGGCAGCCTGCATAGCTCACAAACAATGCAATGACCCCAACGCAGGCACTGTAAGCCAGCTCCACCCAGCTCTAGCTTTGCCAGGGGAGAAGGAGACCAGCTCTGACTCCTCTCTTCTGCTAGAGCCTGCACCAGGGGCTCATTCTGGGCCCTGGAAGTGACGGACTCACTGAAAGCTCACAAGGCAGGTGTAGAATCCAGGAGTCCTGGCCACTCCACTTAACTAGAGCTGTCTCCTCAAAGCCCTATAATAGCAAGTGACTACTATGGTGCCTTGCAAAAATAAGCCATTGCAACTCTCTCCTAACAACCG